AAAACATAAAGTTGAAAAACCAATGGTTTTGTAGATAATTCGGACAGACGCGCGCCGGAAGGACATTTGACAATTTTTTCTTAAAAAAACATTGGGTTTTTGATTTTTTATGTTAAATCGTTACGAAAACCTAAGTTTTTGGAAGGATTTCGTCTTTGCGCGCTCGAATTCCACTTTAACCTATTTTTTTTTGCAAGGGATTCTTGCAATTGGATCAAGTAAGAACTAAGAACAAGAATTTTTCATTTTCTATTGTTTTTTGCAAGGAAAACGAAGGGGGACAAACGAATTACAACAAAACAACCGGATCCGGTACCAATCCACTTTTCTGAAGCTTTCGCGAAAAAATGATGAAAATGTAGCTGCGGCCTAGGTTTTGGAGGGGGGTCGTGCACCAGGGGTCCCAACAATAATTATTCTTTAGAAGTAATAATGTTCAATCATTATAAGACTGTTCGCTCTTACTTGCCCGTGTGTCGTTCCAAACGAGTCCCCAACACCTTCGATACCCCTTTTGTCTTCGATCACACCCCTTTTGGGGCGATTATTTCTCTTTGCGGGGGGCGGCGGGCTTACGTAGACAGGCGGGCAAACCTGAACGGGCGGACAATCCTTCGTGGGCGTACATGTGCCCGCCATTGGAATTGGTGTGGGCTTTGTAAAAAGAGGAGGGGGCGAACGAGGGAGAGTGGGAGGAAAGGAGGGGGAGGGACGAAGGAAGAGGGAAAACGCCAGGAGAGAAGGAGCGAAGAGGGGGGCGGTTGAATAGAGGCAGAGGGAGAGAGAAACACAAATAAGGGAGGTAGAGAAAGACGGAGAGAGAGGGAGAGGGGATAGAGAGAGAGAGAGAGAAAGAGAGAGAGAGAGAGAGAAAGAGAGAGAGAGAGAGAGAGAAAACAAAAAAAAAAGAGGGAGGGAGGAGGCAGGAGAGGGGAGGGAGAAGGGAGGAGGGAGAGGAGGGAGAGGGGATAGGGTAGAGAGGGCATAAGGATGAGGGAAAAGAGGAGGGAGAGAGAAGGGAGGAGAGGAGGGAGGAGGGAGGAGGGAGAGGAAGGAGGAACAGGAAGGTAAGAGCGTGAACGTTCGAGGAAATCCTGGGCGAAAGCGCCGTTCCTGAAGGAAGTTTCGGGAGCCCACGACGGGCGGGCGATCCCTTGACGGGCGGGTCAGGCGGGTGGGACATTCAAGCGGGATGCCTGAGTATGGCGAGAGCGCGATTATTAAGTAATTTGCAACGGCGTCCTTAGCGCAACGTGTTTCCTGAGCGTCGAAAGCGCTTTTTTCTCAATAAATTACATGGAGGCCACAGGCGAGAGCGCAATTCCTGAATCAAATGTGAGGGGTTCTCTGGCGGGAGCGGGGGCCTTGATTAAATTGCGAGGAAGTCTTGGTTCAAATGCGAGGAAGTCTCAAGCGGGAGCGCCGTTCCTGAGTAAATTGTGAGGAAGTCTCAGATGGGAGCGGGGGTCCTGACTAAATTGCGAGGAAGTCACAGGCCAGAGCACCGATCCTGAGTAAATTGTAAGGAAGTCTCAGGAGCGGGGGTCCTCAGTATATTTGGGGGAAGTCTCAGGCGGGAGCCGTTGTTGTTGTAATCCGGGGGGCCAGGGGCCCAGTTTGAACAGGAAGATTTTCCCTGTAAGTAAACAGGGTGCGAGCGTCGAGGGGCGCACTTTGATTGAGAAAAACAGCATGCACCGGTGAGGGGGATCAACAATAATTATTCTTCAGAAGTGAGAGTTCCGCGCAACAAGCAGAATCTTCACCACGGATTCTCACTTTAGCCACACACCCAGGGACAATGAATGACCGTTCGGCCCCCTCACTTTGATTTTGCATCTAGTTGGAAATTTGTGGGGTCTCTTTTGCTTTTTCGTCCAACATCCGCATGTAGGGGGACGCGCCAGACCTAAATCAAGCGTCGATCGCCCAGTCGCGCTCACGCGCGTTCGCCACAAATCACGGGAGGAAGAACCACCTGGACCGGACAAGTGGCGTTCACTGAACGGCCCTGGGCGTTTACGGAACAGCCTTGCCCTGTTCGATGCCTTCTTTGGGCGCGTTTGCTGAACGACCTCGCGTGTCGGGGTGTTTACGGTTGAGGGAAACAATTAAGCAACATTCCCCCCTCCCCCGCAATTCAAAGTTGACAGGTTTTCGCAAAACCGCTCGGAGTCCCAGAATCGGAAGGTCCGAAACCAGCACTGCATTTGGGGGGAGGGGGGGAGGTTCAAACCATATGTTCTGCATGAGTGTTGCTTAATTGTTTCCGACACCTGTATTCTGGGGGTGGATTTTTACCTCTACCAGGTCCTCCTCTTCCTCCTCCTCCTCCTCCAGGTCCTCCTCCTCCTCCTCCTCCTCCTCCTCCTCCTCCTCCTCCTCCAGGTCCTCCTCCATCTCCTCCTCTTCCTCCTCCTCCTCCTCCTCCTCATCCTGGGGGTGTGATTTTTTTACCTCTACCCCAAAGGCACACGGGGCCCGTGCCCGCGCGGGTGTGGCTCCGCGGCTTCCCGCCGCAGGCGAGCCCCGCGCAGATAGCCTCCGGCCTCCTGCGCGGCTACGACGTCGGGGAGCCGGACGTCTACATGGCCCTCGAGGGCGGGATTTGGAGGAGGAGAAGTCAAGCAGTGACGAAGCGTTATGGCTCGCCTATAGCCCTACCAAACAAAGTTCTAAGAACCTTTTGTGGTTTCCACGAAATGCTCTTAAAACATTTCTGGCGGAGGCTACCCTGTTTGAGCACATCGGGTTTATGTTCTAAGGACATTGTTTTTGTTCTTCGAACATGTTTGGGTTCTAAGAACATTTCGTGGTATGACTATAGGAATGCCGGGACGGTCGGTCCCTGCTCAAAAAAGGTACCCATACCGTTGCCCTTCGCCCGTTATCCCTTTGTTCGCCCTCTGGGGAGGCCCTCGTCGCCACCGCGGGATTCGCCCCGAAGTCCTGGTCAGGGAACGCACCCCGGGAGTGGCCTGGGGAATTTTGCGGTATCGGTGCGTTTTGGTCTCCCTAGGGGTGGGAGCCTGGACTTGCGACGCTTCGGGCTGCGAGGTTTTCGGCCGTTCTCGTCGCTTCTCGGCGGCCTGCCGCCGCGGGGCGCCTTCCCGCAGCCGCGCCTCGCCGAGAGCGCTCCCGGGGGTGTGACCGCATCGTCCCGATCCTCCGCGGGAGGCCCGAGCTGTGGCCCGGGAGCCCAAGAATCTCCGCCGCTAGGATGTCTTCGTCGAGGCGCGGGCGGCGGGGGCCAGGACGGCGACGACGACGAGGACGTCGACGACGGAGGGCTTTTGCACGTTGTCGTATGCTCTTGGACATTCTCGCGCCTCGGGATTCCCCCCTCCCCCCCTCCCCCCCCCCCGTGGAGTGGATCTTGGCCGTCTTTGGGCGCCTGTCTCGAGTGGGCGGAGCCTCCCCCAGAGGCAGCACTCCTGCAAACAGTCGCACTGCGCAGGGGTCTGGAGCCAGAGCCCCCCCCCCTCCCTCCCTCCCTTTCCGCCCAATGTCGAAACGCCGAATAAACAAAAAAACAAAAAAACGCACCTGTCCTGGGAGCAGGGGGGCGGCGAGGACGAGGGCAACCGCGAGCAGCAGGAGGAGCCGGAGGCAACGCGAGCGGCGGGAGCGAACGGGGTTTTTCGCTGCGCCGACGGCCGCGCCCCTCGAGCTGCTCGCGTGCCTGCGCGGGCGGCCCGCGCCATCCCGCGCAGGCCGCGGCGCATGGCCGCTGTGCCACCTCGCGTAAGGCCCGTTCCTTGGCGTCGCTCATCTGGCTCCGTTTCGGCCTCCTCCTCCTCCTCCTCCTCCTCCTCCTCCTCCTCCTCCTCCTCTCGCTTCCTCCTCCTCCTCCTCCTCCTCCTCCTCCTCCTCCTCCTCCTCCTCCTCCTCCTCCTCCTCCTCCTCCTCCTCTCGCTTCCTCCTCCTCCTCCTCCTCCTCCTCCTCCTCCTCCTCCTCCTTGTCGTTCGGCCCCGTTTCTTCGGGCGAAGAGAGCTGTGCACAGGCACCGATCCTGGCAGGGCCCATCCTTGGCCCAGGATCGGTGCCTGTGCCTTCCTGGCCAAGGCAGGAGGGCGTGTGCACCGGCCCTGGGCTCAGGATGGGCCTGGCCAGAATCGGTGTATGTGCATAGATATGTTTCCTCTGTTTCTTAGTGCGCCTCCACCCTCGAGCGACGGTGGGCGCAGGCGTCCATCGTGGTCGGCACGCCTGCAGCGTGGATGCGGATGCGGACGGACTGGGGAGGGCGGGGAGGCTGGCAGTCGGAAGCGGTCGAGGAGGAGGAGGAGGAGGAGGAGGAGGAGGAGGAGGAGACCAGTCGAACGCTGTCGAGGAGGAGGAGGAGGAGGACAGTCGGACGCTGTCGAGGAGGAGGAGGAGGAGGAGCAGCAGGAGGAGGAGGAAGAGGAGGAGGACAGTCGGACGCTGTCGAGGAGGAGGAGGAGGAGGAGGAAGAGGAGGAGGAGAAGGAGGAGGAGGACAGTCGGACGCTGTCGAGGAGGAGGAGGAGGAGGAGGAGGACAGTCGGACGCTGTCGAGGAGGAGGAGGAGGAGGAGGAGGAGGAGGAGCAGGAGGAGGAGGAGCGGGCAGGACGAAGACGCGGACCTAGACATCCGACGATCTGATTCGTTCAATGCGCAGCCGCACAGGTCCCGGCCCCTTCCCCCGAGGTGGTTCTTCGTCCCGCTCTGATGGCCACCGGGGCCCGACAGCGGGCTCCCGCTGGTAGGCATCGAAGAACAACGGCAAGATTGAACGACGAGCGTCGTCGGAGGTTCTCAGGCTTTCAGGCCACAGCTCGGGCCTCCAGCGGCCGATGGGGTCAGTCAGGGCGCCCCTGTGGCGCTCTCGACGAGGCGATGCTGCGGGAAGACATCGCGAGGCTGGAGGACCTCCGAGCGCGAAGGGAAAGCGTTCGAGAATTGTCGATCCTGTCCTTGTGGAAGTCGAGTAATGGAGAGAAAGCGTGCTGCCACATGGTTTCCAGATGTCTAAAATAGGTTTCAAACATGTTTTAAGTATGTTAAAGCATGTTTGAAACGTAATTCTAACATGTTTTACCCATGTTGAACACATCGTTCATTCAATAATGGGATTGTTAGAGGGTCCATTGCCATGGCATCCACAATCCTATCCGTCCCTGAGATCCGGCGTTGCGTAAGAAATGTAACATCACAGAAAATCGCGACTGGAGCACCAGACCCTGTCTTTCTGCTGCAGCTTTCGAGCTGCGTCGATCTGTGATGGCCCTGGGGCCCGAAACAGGGCGAACTTCCCCGGCGCTAAAGAGTTGCAATGCCCCGATCTCAGGCGAGGAGGAGAAGGAGCAAAAGGAGGATGAGGAGGAGGAGGAGGTCGGGGGCGGAAAAGAGGGGGGTGATGACAAGGGGGGGGGAATATCATGGCGCGGGCCATGATATTTCCCCAGATGTCATGGCGCCTCTTCTTATTTCATGACGTCCCTGGCCCCCCCGCTGGGCCGCGCACATGCCGCTGGTCATGACTTGCACCCCCCCCTCTTGGACACCCCCCTCTTGGCCGCTCCCGAGGAGGAGGAGTACCAGTGTAAACCCAAGACTCATCAGCGAAGTTGGAATACACCCTCCCTCTAAGCTCCCTCTTCGTTGGCCCCTGCAGGGGTTCATTTCCATGGGAACTGCCTCGTTGGGAGACAACCGTTTCAAGTCCCTGAAGCGTGCCAAAGCATTACTCTCGGGACTCCAACGCCACGAATGAGCATGATTGTTGCATCCTGACGATCCGAAACCGTGGCAGAACACCATTCCTGGGACTTCAACACCGCGGATCAACATAACTGTTGCGCCCTCACAGTCCTGAGTCTTTCCGGAACACCATGCCTGGCACGTTGACCATGGGAATCCGAGAAACTCTTCTGCACAGGTTTAAGGCGAGTATGCGCGCGGCGCGAAGGCGAGAGCCACATTTTGAAAACCAGTCGCCCTCAATCCGTGAAACTCTTGGCATTTCTTGAAAACAAATGTGCGCGGCGCCAAGGCGAGAGCCACATGTTTGAAAAGGAGCCGCCCTCATTCCGTGAAGCTCTTACAAATTTAATGCGCGGCGCTAAGGCGAAACTCACTTTTTTGAAAACGACCTGTCCTCAATCCGTGAAGTTCTTGCAAGTGTTTAGAACGAATGTGCGCGGCGCTGAGGCGAGAGCCACATGTTGAAAACCACCCGCCCTCAATCCGCGAAACTGTTACAGTGTTTCAAACGACTGCGCGCGGCGTTAAGGAGAGAACCACATTTTGAAAACCACCCGCCCTCCATGTGTGAAACTGTTGCCATGTTTTAAGCTTCAGAGTCATCAGCGATGAGGAAGTCTCAGGCGAAACGACGGGCCCGCCCTTTCGACCGGCCTCGGGGTGCGGCAGGGAGGAGCTGTTTGTTTGTAAGGAGCAGGAATGGAGATGGAGGCAGAACGCAACAGCCCCGCCGATGCTTGCCTCACGTGAGAGAGAAGGGAAGGAGAAGGCGGAAGCGGGCCTGGAGGACTGGTGGCGGGGCAGAGGTTCCCGGTCCTCTCGGCATGGTGCTGGGGCAGCACCCGAAGCGACAGACCCAGCGAGGTCCCAGACGGCCTGGGCGCGGTGGTCACCTTCCCCAGCGACGCGGCGGCCAAGCGTGCCATCGGCGCCCTGGACGGCCGCCGGCTGCGCGGCGGCAGCGTGTCGCTGCGGCCCCTCGGCGCGGAGGACGATCCGGCGCCGGAAGATGTCCGTGCGCCGCTGCTTCGGGGTCGCGCCCCGGGAGCTCGAGGAGCGGCGGATGCGGACCTCTGCCCGCCCGCTTGGGCGGGCGGGCATCCACACCCGCTGCTCCCCGAGGTCCTGAGGCACGACCCTGCAGCAGCACGTCCGTATCCACTGCTGCGGAGGCGTGCCCCGGGGGCTCGAGGAGCAACGTATGTCTGGGTCGGGTCAGAAGGCAATCACGGTTCGCGAATCGCGGCTCGGATTGGAGAGCTGCGCCCCGCCAGGGCGGCCTCGTGGGGGCGCGAATGTGACCGCGCATCGCGGGGCGCGATGCTCGCAGTTGAGGTGACCCAGGATATGGATGACGACAGCAGAACCCACACACACACACCCAAGCAGGACCCCACTCCCGACCTGGTGATCCAGTGGGTCCTGGCTGGGGGTGGGAGTGTTTCCTGGGGGTCCCCACAAGAATCCCACAACTCTCCCCCCCCCCTTCCCACTCCCGGCCAAGACCCCTTGGATCACCAGGTCGGGAGTGGGGGTCCTGGCTGGGGGTGGGGGGCTGGCTGTGCTGTCATCGACGCGCATCTGCCCGCCCGCTTTTGGACGGGCAGATACCCACATCCACTGCTCCCCGAGTCCCCGAGGCGCGACCCTGCGGCAGCGGATACGGGCACATCCTCGCGCCGCAGGACGAGGACGCCATCAGCGAGGCGTTCAGCCGCGAGGCCGGCGACGCGCCGGCGCTCCCAGGGGCAGCGCAGGCGCCGGTGGCGCAGGCGCTGGCGACGACGACGGCGACAGCGACGACGACGACGACGACGACGACAACGACGACGACGACGGTGACGACGACGGTAGCGGCTTAGCGGCGACGGCGACGGCGACGGCGACGATCGAAAAAGAAGAAAAATAAACGACAAACATGAGCTTTCGGTGTTATTATGATTGTTGTTATTAGTTTACGTATTACGTTGTAGTATCTTCGCTCGTATTAGTATAGTATGTATGCTGCTACTGCTGCTGCTTTTATCATTACTACTACTACTACTACTACTACTACTACTACTACTACTACTACTACTACTACTACTACTACTACTACTACTACTACTACTACTACTACTACTACTACTACTACTACTACTACTACTACTACTAACTACTACTACTACTACTACTACTACTACTAACGAACTACTAACTACTACTACTACTACTACTACTACTACTACTACTACTACTACTACTACTACTACTACTACTACTACTACTACTACTACTACTACTACTACTACTACGGCTACTGCTACGACTACACTACTACGACTACTACTACTACTATATATATTATACTATATACTATACTATACTATACTGTACTATAACTACTACTACTACTATACTACTACTACTACTACGACTACTACTACTACTACTACTACTACTAACTACTACTACTATACTACTACTACTACTACTACTACTACTACTACTACGGCTACTACTACTACTACTACTACTATTACTACTACTACTACTATTACTACTACTACTACTACTACTACTACTACTACGACTTCCAGAATTATAAGTACTAGCATTCGTATGATAACTTAGCATGAATTGTATTATGATCAGTCGGCTTAGTATTATCATTGATACCGTAGACCATCAACAATTTTGTTTTCAGTACCACATGATGGTATCAATAGTATCAGCACACTCCTTATGTTCATTATTGCTGTTACTTTTTAGTATGAGTAACATCATTACTTTTCTCAGTATCATAATGTTGTTGCGTGCTATTCTTATAAGTCATATGATTCGTGTTTTTTTATCCGTCTTCTAGACGAGGGCGACGACGGCGTCTGCGGGAGCATCTGGAATTTGGGGTCCTGCAGGGGGCGTGGTCCCCCCGCGAACCAGGCACCCGACGAGTGCTTTCCGTGCCGAGCTCCTTTCCCAGGGGGAAGCGTTCGTCCCGGACCGGTCTAGGACGGCACCGCACCCATCGGGGGCGGCCAAGGGGGGTGAGGGCTAGGGTTAAGTCGGGCCTGTCCCTCTACAGGGGGAATATTCAAAAATAGTCAAAATATAGTCTGGGGACGATTTTTTGAGCATTCTTTGACCACTCTGGAGCATTCCTGGGGTATCTTCTTTTTTTTTCGTCGAAAATCCCCCTGTAGGGGGAGAGGCCCGACCTAAGACTAGGGGGGGGGCCCGCCCCAGGGCCCCGACGTGGAGGAGCACCGCCAGGATCGCGAAGCGCCGCGCCGCCCGACGAGCGGCGCACTCTTGGGCCAGTGCTCGGGCCTCCGGCGGCCCTTCGGGACGAGTTCTGGGCGCCCGGACCGCTCTCGGGGGGGCGCAGCTGCTGCAAGGGCACCCTCGAGGGCGCGAGGCTACTCGCGCTTCGCGCTTCGGCTCTGGTTCCTCCTCGTCCTCCTCTTCTCCCCCGGGAGGCGGCGCGAGCGCGCGGAGTCATTCGCGCAGCGCGAAGCGCGAAGTTGGGAGCCCTTGTTGCTGGAAGGCACCCCGAGGCTGAGAGAGCCTCCTCGAAGCCTGCGACAGCGGCGGCACGCCTCGGGCTCCGAACTTTCGAGCCTGCGCTCCCCTTGCTGAACGCCCCGAGCCTCGGCCGCGCAGCGAGCGGGCCCGGAGCCGGGGTGGAGAGAGCGCTCCAGAGCGTTCCAGAACGCTCTCAACAGGGGCAACGTTAGGGGGGATGTCATATCCCAGAGCGTTCCAGAACGATTCAGAAGGATGCTCAAGGAGGGATTGCATCGACCCCGAATCGCCCATTGATCGCCGACAAGGGGCCCGACAGCCCCGTCCCGCTTATAAGACCGTGCGGATGCGCCAATGAGGGTGCCTGTCGCCGATCTATCGGCGATGTTCCGCCGCTTAGTATTTTTGGGGTATTTTCAATTTTTCGTCAAATCCAATTTTCAGTTTTAGGCTCAAGCCTCCGGCGGATCTGAGCGCTTCCGGAGCGCGCCCCAGATCTTTCAACGAAAGGCGCTTGCGAAAGCGGGTAAACCGAGGCATTTCCGGTTCTTGCTTTCCCGATCGCGCTGCAATGTCCGGCAGCCGCTCCCCGCTGAACCTGGAGAAGGATTTGGATGCTGTGATGTCACAAACCCCTCCGCAAAGGCAAGGGCCTGCCCGGGGGGCCGGTACTCCAGTCGGCCACCTGTTGGCGGGCAACCCGTTCGAGCAGATGAGGGAGAAGGTTGCGCGCACGGGACCTGGTCCTGCCCCGCCTTGTACACCTCTACTGGCAGACAGTCGCTACCAGCGCATGGAAGATGGCGGGGAGGAGGATGAGGAGGAAATGATCCCGTCGCCGCACGTGCGGCCGCATTTGGGGGAGGTACGAAAGGAGGGGAACTCGCAGGAGGAGCAGGTCACGATGCTCGGCATAGCGGCGCTACTCCGGCAGGAGCTGACTCCAGTCACAGCCTCGGTGGAAGAGTTGCGCCTGGGGTTCAGCGCTTTGGACACCCGCCTCAACGATTTCATGGCAGTGGTGAACAAGCGCCTGCAGTCTGTGGAAAGCAGGCTGGACGTGTCAGAGGTCAGGATCGAGAAGCTGGAGAACATGCTCAAGAATCTCGAGTCCTCTCGGCCGGCCGGCGCTGCTCCACCTCAAGGCGCCGTTCAGCATACAGCCACGGACAAGAGGCACATCACGGCCGTGATAGGCAACCTGGACGCGTTGAACAGCATGGCGGAGGCGACCACATGGCTGAAGGACAAGCTGATGGTATTGAACGGTCCGGCCCCGAACAACACGTACTCCAAAGGGGACTTCAAGGGCATCCTCTTCGCGGAGTTCCACGGGACCGCGGAGAGAGACACCGCTGTGGACCTCCTCCGTGCGGCGGGTCTCCAGCCAGGTGGAGGGAAAGGTTTGTGGGCGACGGCTGATCGTCCTGCCCCAGAGCGTGCTGCCCGGAACTTCTGTTTCGGCTTGAAGCGGTTGTTCAAAAACGAATGGTGGATCAACTACCACGTGAAGATCTCCGATGAGGCTCCGTACCTGCTCACAGTTGGCGGCGAGAAGGCGGTGACGGCCCACGTCGACGACAACGCCGTGCGATACGAGTGGCATGGCGACTGGAAGACTTGGGAGGAGCTGCGCAACAACCAGGCCGTGCAAGACCTCATACAGAAGAACACGGACATGCTGTCCCGAGCTGGTCAGGGCATGAAGGGCTCGAAGGGGCAGAAGGGCGGTGCCAAAGGGCATTAGGAAACACAGCACATGAGCACAGTTTCACCCACAGTTTCACCCAGAGCATCTGTAGTTCTACACACTGCAAGCTCAAGTTTTGGTACCATCTCTACATCTTGCACAACAAGGTCGTATGAAGCAGAACTTTTTCGAGGCGGCCGGCTTGCCGTCTCTGGCCGGGAATTCAAAGTTGGGACTTGGAATGTGGAAGGGCTTACAGAGACAAAGGTTGTAGAGCTCCAGCGGCACATGCAGCAGGAGGACATCAGCATTCTCTGCATTCAGGAAACGCACAAGGGCAACTCCGAGTATGAGATCGCAGACGGGGGCTTCCTCCTTATCCTGTCTGGCACGGCAGGAGACGAACCGGAAGCAACGGCAGGAGTTGGATTCCTGATCTCTCCGCTGGCACGTCGCAGCGTTATTGGTTTCAGACAGGCCTCTTCGAGAGTGGCGTCCCTCAAACTGCGGGTCCGCGGAGACAAAATCGTCATCTGCAGCGCCTACGCCCCGCACAGTGGAAAGCCATTCGTCGACCGGCAGGCTTTCTTCTCGGACTTGGCCGGCTTCCTCGGCAGCCACTCCGCCCACGGACCGGTGCTGCTATTTGGTGATTTTAATGCCAGAATACACAGGCGCTTCCCCGGAGAAGAGGACGTGCTGGGGCCGTTCATTTTCGGGGACCCGCAAGCGCAGCACAACCCGGAATCAAACAGAACGCTCCTGCTCGAACTTTGCACCTCTCGTAAACTCACTGTCGGCAACACAGTTTTCGACGAGCCTCCGGAGCGCCAGATTACTTACTATGATATAGGACACTCGCCGGCGGACCCCCCAATCCACCAGAACTACGGACAGCTGGACTTGGCGATCGTGTCCATGGAGTGGCTCGGGTGCTTGAAGCGTGTGCAAAGCGTCAAACACAGGGCGATCGCGTCGCATCATTTTCTCGTGGCTGCATCCCTGGACGTGGACGTCCCGCGCGAAGACAGCGGCCCCCGCGAGCCTCGACGACAGCTTGGCGCGCTTCGGGACGAAATGGTGGCGGGCACATTCTCCGATGCTTTCTGTAACCACATGAGCTCAAGTGGGTGCGAGCACGGGGGCGCGAGCGTCCAGCAGCTCGCATCGAGCATGACAGATGCCTTTCGTTGTGCTGCCCAAGACGCTCTCCCGACTCTAGCGAGGAGACCGCGGCGACCATGGATCTCTGACAAGACACTCCAGTTCATAGACCAGAGAGACTCAGCGAGAGCGCGCGGGAACACGCAGGAAGAGCGGCGCTTGCACCGAGCTGTCAGAGATTCCGTCCGGGCGGACCGTTCGGATTGGTTAGAGAGCCAACTCGCCTCTGGAGACTGGGCGCCGATGCGCACCCTGAGAAAAGGAGCGCAAGCCCAGCAGGGCCGATTAGCCGACATGGAAGGTCGTCTTGTTGACTCCGACCAGCGTGCCGACACAATGGCAGAGTACCTTTGCAAAGTCCAATGGGCAGTGCGGCCGACAAGCGCAGCGCCGGACGGGGGCCCCCTTGGCGAC